TCCCCTCCCCCACTCCCAAAGGCCACACCTCCTCCCCTCCCCCGCTCAGGGCCCTGTGCACCAGCCCCACCCTCCGAAGGCCCCGCTGAGGGCCACCTCCCCTGGGGCTGTCTCTCCCCTGTGCTGGGACACCCAGCCCTCTCAGAGTGGAGGGGCAGGCAGCACTTGTGACTTCCAGAGTGTGTCTGGGTGTGACCCCACGTCGGCAGGGCTCCTCGTCCTGGGCCTGGTGCTGTCTGGACGCAGGGATGGTGGGAGGAGGCGCAGACCCCCGGGGCGCCACCCGCCCTGGACACGAGGACCCGGGTTTTCACAACGCGCATGCGTTTCCGTCCCCGCAAAGAGCCGTGTCCGTTGCCTTGGGAGGGGGGACCCAGCCCTGGGCGGGCGGGCCGGGGTCCTGACCGCCCCCTCTCCCCACCTGGCCAGCCCGTGTCGGCGTCCGCGGCCCACATCCTGGGCGAGGTGTGCCGGGAGAAGCAAGAGGCGGCCATCCCGCTGGTGCGGCTGCTCCTGCACTGCGGCCGGGTGGTGCCCTTCATCAGCGCCATCGCCAACGCCGAGGTGAAGCGGACCCAGTGAGTGTCACCCCCCGGCCCCGGGGGGACGCGGGGCCTGCGGGGGGGATGGCAGAGGCTGCCCCAAAGCCGCCCCCAACGCAGGCTGGGGGATCAGAGGGCGCAGGCTCCCCCAGAAACGTGTCGATTCAGGTTTTCTTTCAGAGGCTTGTACTCCCCTTTCCTAAAAGGCCGCATTTCCCTGGGACATGCCCTGGAGGGAGTGGGAGGCGGGGGGACCAGGCACCAGGGGCTAGAGGGACACCCAGGTCCCCGACGTGGGAGCCCACGTTGTGGGCCAAGGGCCAAGGTCAGGGCCGCTTCCCTTGGGGCCTGCCCTGCTGGTCTGGAGAGACCTGGCTCGTGCCCGCCGCGGCTCATGGCAGAGGCCTCCCCTGTGCCCACGTGGGGAGGCCGCCCCCCCCGGGTCTTGCTGTGCAGACCGCTGTTCGTGCTTTGCACGAGCACGTGTCACAGAGGGCAGGGAGAGGGCGGCAGAGGCAGCCGTGTTCCTCCTGCATCCGTGGACCCCGCGTGTGCGGCACACCTGCCTCTGTGCCTGCGAAGCCCCTGGAAGCAGACTGGTCGGCGGGCGCTTGCCTCCCACTCTGGCCGTCAGGGGTGGGGGCCGGACGCTGCCTTTGGTTCGCGGGAGGCAGGTGTGCCTGATGTTGTCTCCAGGGACCCCAACACCATTTTCCGAGGAAACTCCCTCACGTCCAAGTGCATCGACGAGACGATGAAGCTGGCGGGCATGCACTACCTGCACGTCACCCTCAAGCCCACCATCGAGGAGGTGAGGCGGTCCCGGCCCCGAAGACCCTGGCCACCCTGACCTTCTCGGGGGAGAAGGCAGGGGTTGGGACTTCCCGGGAGAGGCAGGCGCGGAAGGGTGGGTGCGTGGGACGTGGGCGGACGAAAGGTCTGGGTATGACGCCCACGCCAGCCTCACCGCAGGAGCATCATTTTCCTAGCACTTGTGGAGAGCTCATTTGTGTTCCGGAACCTTCTGAGTTTTCCCAAATCAGCCCTTTTCTGTTTTCCCTGAGAATCCCTCCAGCCGCGTTTGCAGCAACAGCATTTACCCTGAGATGAAGAAGATAGAAAAGAAATACAAATATAGTAATTCTCTCTCTCTTGTAATTATTGTTAGGATTAGAGACAAGGTCTGTTTATAAATAGCTCCAAAAATGGTTTCTATGTTTTATTTTAACGTTGAAAACCAGTCAGATTTGCTTCAACCGCAAAAAATGTGTTTATGTGAAATTAAATGAATGCAGCAGTGACTACACTTTTTTTTTTCAAAACAAGAAATGGGTTAAAAAAGCAAACGTCACTGAAAAAACCCATCGCTAGCCGAGCTCAGTGGCTCAGCCTGTCATCCCGCACCTTGGGAGGCTGAAACGAGTGGATTACCTGAGCCCATGGGTTTGAGACCCGCCTGGGCAACTTGGCGAGACCTCATCTCTACAATAAATAAAATAATTAGTCGGGCCTGGTAGCGCACACCTGTCATTCCAGCTACTCAGAAGGCTGAGGCAGAAGGATCACTGGAGCCCAGCGGGTCAAGGCTGCGGTGGCCGAGAGCGGCCACTGCACTCCAGTCTGGGCGACAGAGTGAGACTCGAACTAAAAAAAAAAAAAAAACAACAACCCATCGCTGTGCTGGAGACAGGGTCAGGAGGGAACAGCCAGTTCCTCCAGGGATGCCCTACTCCACATGCAGTGGGTCTCCCCTGCCCAAGCCCGCAGCTGTGGGGGTCCCCCACAGGCCACATGCCAGGCAAGCCTCGTCTCACTGGTTTGGCCCCGTGCAGGCAGTGCACCTCAGAGCAGTTTCCTAAACAGCCTCTTTGCAGATGGGAGGAAACACAAGGTAGCACCTGGCTTGCTCAGGGCGAAACTGAGAAGGCGCATGGAAGTAGGGATATCGTGCAAGCCTCGCAAAGGCTAGTTCGGTGCCTGGCCACAAGCCACTCTGAGAAAGCCCTGCAGGCTGGGCTCTGCTGGCGACTGTGTCCGGCATCCCACCTGCCCCTCCGGCAACCTTCACTGGATTTGAGCTGTCTTTCTGCCACTGAGGCCTGGGCAGACATCCTCCAGGGGGCCTCTGTCCGGCCCGCTCCACCCTGCCTCTCTGTGTCCATGGCCAGCTGGGCCAAATGAGGCTCGCAGCTCATCTCAGCTTGTGACTGTCCTACTGGCGTTCCTGGAGCCCACCTCACAGTCCTGTCTTAAATGCTCTTCTCAGATATGCCAGAGCCACAAATCTTGTGAGATCGACCCTGTGAAGTTGAAAGACGGTGAAAACCTTGAAAACAACATGGTGAGGAGCTCTGCTCTGCTTGCTAACGCTGTCCAGGGCCTGTGGCTGTGGGTCGCCCCGTCTCACCCAGGCCGGCTCGGTGGGGTGGGACAGGCCTGGACACCTGCTTGACTGTGGCTGCAGCGCGCTAGCCACGTGGACAGTGCTGGTGCGAGGTTGGCCTGAGGCTCCTGTCCCCTCCTTTCCTGGCTTGGCTACCACCCCCCCAGCAGCCCGGCCTGTTCTCTCCGTCCATCTCGCTAAACTCATTCCCAAACCCGGTACCTCAGGCTGTCTAGGATTAGGTCCCGTTTTTTAAAACAAAGACTCCTTGACACTGAGCGTCTCCAGCATTTCAGTCCTTTCATGTGACTTCTCCACGCAGATGGTGCCACGTCTGTTTACACCTTTACATCAAGGAACAGAGGTTTTACCCTCAGGGAGGTCCATTCTAGTGGGTGTCAGTTCTGCACTCGGCAGGTGCAGGGAGGCAGAGCCAGGGCCCCGGTGGGTCCTGCGATGCCAGGGAGTCGCACTTAATCAGCGCATGTCTTAACAAGAGACCTGCTCTCTTGCACGCTGAGGGAATGCATCTGGCTGCCACGGCTGTCCCGAGCCGTCCCGCGACCTGCCCTCCACGCCCTTCCCCAGACGTGGCCCTGGCGCTCAGCCTCCTCAGGGAAGCCGGTCCCAGCGTGCCCTTGGGCGCCCGCCCGTCCCGTTGCAGGAGAACCTGCGCCAGTACGTGGACCGCATCTTCCACGTTATCACCAAGTCGGGGGTGAGTTGCCCCACCGTCATGTGCGACATCTTCTTCTCGCTCCGAGAGGCGGCGGCCAAGCGCTTCCAGGGTGAGTGCCCCAGGACACCTCGCCCGGGAAGATGACCCAGCCCTCTCTGGGGGAGCTCTGCCCCTGTCCGGCCATCTTAGGACAGTTCACGCTGGCTGGGCCGAGCGGGCGGGACTGGAACCAGAGCTCAGAAGTTGGGCTTCCTGGGGGTTAGTGGCCACAGCCAGGGCTCCCAGGCCACTCTGTGGGACCAGGAAGGCTGGCTGGCCGGTCCGTGTCCGGGAGGGGTGTGGCGTTTCCAAGCTAGATCCTTCCCAAGTCTCCCAGAGGAGTCTTCCTGCGGGTGACAGTGGCTTAGCCCAGGGCCGTGTCTTGAGCTCCGACCTGCGTTTCCAAAAAAATGGTGACCCCAGGGAGGACCGGCCACCCTGCACCTTCCACAGGCCCTGGGGCCGCCTCTCAGGGGCTTAGCCAGGGCCTCGCCATTCCCGGCCGCTCCCTTCCCAGGAGCCGTGGGTGGGCCCCGGGACAGCTCTGAAAGCCCCACACAGCCGCGCCCTGCAGATCCCCGGGCCAGGGCATCATGGGCAGGACATCCCACCGCTACAGGCCAGCGCCAGGGCTCAGGAGCAGGAGACGGCCCATTCCCAGCACATCAAGCCCCATACGCTTGGACCAACGTGGCGAGAACAGATGAATAATCGTGTCCTCTCCCCCAGCCACGAGTCTACCGTGGGGGCCTCTGCGAGAGGGGGTTTCTGCGACAAGCCAGCTGCCGCTGGGGCCACGCTGCATGGCAGCAATGAGAGATGGAGAGAGAGAGAGACAGAGACAGAGAGAGAGAGATGGAGAGAGGCAGGCAGAAAAATGGAGGCAGAGAGACACACAGAGAGAAAAACAGAGTCAGACAGAGACAGACCCAGAACTGGGGCTGCCTTCTCCGTGGGTCCCAGGGGCAGGGCATGAGGCTGCAGAGCCCCGCCCAGGCTGCCACGTCCCCTTCGAAGCAGCCGTTCTCTGTCTCTGGCCACAGGTGACCTGGACGTGAGGTACACCGCCGTGAGCAGTTTCATCTTCCTCCGGTTCTTTGCTCCCGCCATTCTCTCCCCCAACCTCTTCCAGCTCACGCCTCACCACACGGTGAGTGCGTCGGCCCTGTGAGCCCTCTGGCCCCGTGCACCAGCCTGTCCTCCCGGGCTGTCCCAGGCCAAGGGCCTGGGGTCCGGGGGGTGTGTGGAGCTGGGCGGAGGGTGAGAGATGCAGCCATCTGTGGGGGCCGCGTCCCTGAGCCTCTTTGTTGCAGGTGGGTGGTGGCCCTCCCTGTTCAAGTTGTGTCAGCTCTGACCACTGGTCGCTGTGGGCGGGGCTGATGCTATTTTTGGCCCAGGTGTAGCTGCTGGGTCCGACCACGATGCTCCCCTTCCCCTGCCCACAGAAATTGGAGTGTTTGTCATCTCCCACAGGTTCACTCCTTGGCTCAGTCAACAAATGCTGAGCACCCACTGTGCGCCAGGCTCCGTCCTGGTGGTGGGGACCTGGCGTCCTCTGGTGGACATTCTGCTGGGGTGGCAGGGACACGTCCGCAGATGACAGCCAGGGCGAGGGCATTGCGGGGGTCCCTTCCCTGTGGTTTCACCCTGAGCCCTCCAGACCATGAGCGCCCGGGGGGTCAGGGGACTCAGAATTGGGGGAGCAGTGACCCCCCGCCTGACACCTCGGCCCTCGAAGTGTGTGTCTGTGCACTGTCTGAGGGTGGGGGCACCACAGCACCTCACAGACCTCACTGTGGGGGAGCCCTGCCCGCTGCAGCAACAGTCCGGCGGCCGGGGGAGCTGTGTTCTCAGCAGTTCCTGAGGCTGTGGCTACTGCCCCGGGTGACTCCTTCCCATGCCCGGCGTCTGCGGGGCTGTCCCTGGCTTCCAGGGTCCATGCACACGTGTCGGCTTTTAGTGACACTGTCACTCGTTGTGCCCCTGTGTCCTTCTGGGGCCCCTCACAGCGCCTCTGTGAACCTGGGCACAACTCACATCTCTCCTCTCTCCGACAGGACCCGCAAACATCCAGGACGCTGACACTCATCTCCAAGACGATCCAGACCCTGGGCAGCTTGTCCAAGTCGAAGTCGGTGCGTCTCTCGCTCCCCTGTTTTCTCTTGCTAAGAAACTCTGGCTGTCCCAGCGGCCTCCCTGCCGCATCTCTGTGATCCTTGGTCTTTTCCGAAAGCCTTCTGTGGCCGTTCCTCCCCGTGTGGGGCCGTGGGCTTGTTGGTCAGTGTCTTCGGAAGGCGTCCAGCCCCCTCGACGCGCGTTGTCCTGACTGGCTGCACTGGGCTGGTCCCAGTCTGGACGTCTCAGGACATCAGGCAGGGTGGTTTTCGGGCAGCAGGCGGCTGGCTCATCCACAGCACGCACGCGCTCTTCCCTGGGCAGGGAGTCAGGGGTCACTCAATGACACCGCCCCTTTGGTGACCGCCCACATCTCCTTTCTGGTCCCCTCACACTGGATGTGGCACCGAGGGGCTGGGGCCCGCAGGATTCTGCCCCCCATTGCCCCAAGAACACGCCTCACCGTTGGAGGGCGCTGAGGCTGGGCAGAGTCCTGGAGTAGGGGTCTGTGGGTGCCATCTAGGGCAGGGCAGGGCTTTCTAGGAGGCCTCACGTTCTGTCTGGAGGGGCTGTACCATGGGCCGCTGGGCTCTCTGTTCTCCGTGGGGCCTCAGAGGAGTCAGACTGTGGGACGGGACCCGCACCGAGAGGGGCATCCCTGGGCAGAGGTTGGCTTCTCGGAATCAGGGTGAATAAAAGACGCCTCACCCCTCACCCTCTGCGTGTGTTGGAGATCCGAGGTCTGCACGAGATTCACCTCGTCCACAAACTGGAGTGACCTCAGTGAAACGACACCAAATCACCTCCGCTTCTGGGCCCGATGCAGCCCGCCGCCCCCTTCCCGCCCGAGTGACCCTCAGGTCTCGCGGCCCTGAACGTCGTCATGAACGCAGAACCCGGGGTGGGGCGGACGGTGCAGGGCAGCCCCGAGTTGCTGGTGCCAGAGGCTCTCATGACGGGACCTCGCCACTGGCCCACGGCTGCTTCACCCTCGCACACGCCAGGACTTCCTTCTGCGGTTTCAGGCCCATGTGACCCATGCCAAGGCCTCGGGGCAGTGAAGCCACTGGCCCAGCCACGCTCGGCGTCTCCACAGGGTTGTCCCAGTTTAGGCTTGTCGTTGCCAGTGCCTGCAGATTTTTCGGGCCTGGGCTGTGAACCAGGGTCCTTTCGGGCCTTCTTCACGTGACCCCTTTCATCTTAGGCCAGTTTTAAGGAGTCCTACATGGCCACGTTTTATGACTTCTTCAATGAGCAGAAATACGCCGACGCGGTCAAAAACGTGAGTACTGAGGCCGGCGAACACGGGCACACCGTCCCCTGTGTTCCAAGGTGTTCCCAAGAAACAGCATTACTCTTGTTTACTGAGATAAAATCTGCACGTCGCAGTGACTGTTCACAATTTTAAACATTTCATTGCCGTCGGGCCACTCACAGCATTGGCCAGACACCCCCGCCCACATTTCCAGAACACCTTCTTCACGTGCAGTCTTTAAGCGCTTTGTGGCGTGGTCCCTGGGGGTCTGACTGGCCCCCTGCACGGCCTCTGTCTGAGGCCTCGCTCTCCAAGCCGGCTGTGTGTCACACCTGGTGTGTGCAGCTGGTGCACCAGCCCCCCCACCCCGGCCTTGGGCCCTGCCCCGCCCGTCGCCTCAGCGTCCTGGCGCCCAGGGCTCTGACCCAAAGCGGGAGACCAGGTGCCGGGAGACTCCTCTGCACCCTGCCGCTCGGCCTTTCTCTACGCTCAGAAGCCATCGCAGGTGCTTCTCAGAAATCGCCGAACACCAGGGGGAAGGAGGGGGTGGGCACCAGAGCAGCTCTGAGTCGAGGGAGGGAGGCCAGTCCGAGCGGGGAACCCACCCGCCAAGGCTGGGCGACAGCTTCTGGGGAGGCGAGGGCGGCGGGGGCGGAGCGGCCGCGGAGGGCTGGCAGGTCCTGGCGGGCCGAGGCTCCTCCCTGGCCAGACCCCGAGTGCCCGCGTGGGAGTCTCCCAGGGCAGAGTCCAGGGGCCGCCTGAGGCCCGGCCTCCCCTGAGGCAGCCGCGGAGGCAGGCCGGGCCCCCTGGCAGGGCCGGGGCCACGCAGGCTGGTGCTGGAGACAGGCACAGGCCTCGGTTCTCGAAGGACCCACGCCCCCGCGCTCCTCCTCCACTGGGCGGGGAAGGAAGCCCGACGCACCTGCTGCCACCGCTGTCCTGAGAGCGGACGTGCTTCGAACGCGCTGCCCCTCCCTGATGCTCTGGTTTCTTGCCCCTCTAGTTCCTGGACTTGATTTCATCCTCGGGGAGAAGAGACCCCAAGAGCATTGAGCAGCCTATCCTACTCAAAGAAGGGTAAGGCTGTCCCACTGGGCCGGAGGTAAAGGCGGGCTGGCATCCAGTCCCTCGTGGCTCCATGCATGCTGCATCTTGATGGCTCTGGGCCGTGTGGCCGCCAGCTTCCCGGGCCAGGCAGCCTTGACTCTTGCTGGCCGTCAGCTCGGGAGCGGCACGGCTGTCCTTGCCATTCCTCACCAAGACTCCCCCGGGAGCTGGGGGGACTTTGGCTCTTCTGCCCTCTGCCGTCAGTGGAGGGACAGGGAGGGCTGGGCCATCTCCTGCAGTCGAGGTCTCTGCACGCTGGGCCCATCCATGCCGGCATGGAAGGCCTGGCCTCCTCCATGCTCTTGGGGCCTTGTATCAGGAGACCGGGTCGGAGGGGACAGCTGGGGGACCTTGGTTCTCTGCCCAGGGCTTGCACCATGCTGGGGCCACGCTGCACTGGGGTAGCCTCACACTGTGGCCATCTCACACTGGGGTCACCTCACACTGGGGTCATCTCACACTGGGGTCGCACCACACTGGGGTGGCCTCACGCTTCGGCCGTGCCACGCTGTGGCGCAGTGTCCTCACCCACTCCCAGGCTGACCTCCATGCGTGTGAATCTCCGAGAGCACACGCTGTCCTGTGCATGCAGGCTGTGAACTTGGTCACTTGTCTCCATGCCGTGTGGCTCCCGGTGGCTTCTGCTCTGTGCTCCCGCAAGGACCCGCGAGGCGCATCTTCCCGTTCCTACGAGCACCTGGGCGAGTGGCTCTGGCCCCGTCTCGGCGCGTTGCAGTCCAGTCCCTTGGGCGCTATCCATTCCGTGTTCCTGTCAAGTGCCGTGTGTGTCTCTCTCCTGCCGGCCCCCACCCTGCCTGGGCTCTCCCGTGACGCCGTGTCCCTGTTCTCCCGGGTGTCCTCTCTTCCTGCCTGGCGTGTTGGTGCCGATGCGTGCTCCCTGCCCTGACGGTATGCCCACGCAGCCTAGCAGTCCCCTGGGCCATCAGGAAGAGTCCCCGTCCCTGCCTGGGAAGGCCGTACTCCTGGCCAAGGCCACAAGGCAGTGGGTCCTCGGGCAGTCTGCTCCAGCTTCTGGCTGTCTCCTCTTCCTCCTGGTGGGCTCCTCCCTCCAATGGGAGAGACCAGGTGGGCTGTAACAACTGCAGGAATCTCCCACACCTCCCTGGAGTCCCTGATGGGCACAGCCCGGGCGCCCTCTGCTCACACGCTGGGCTGGACCCGAGGGCAGCAGGTGGGGTCCTCCGGAGGCACCAGCACGTGGCTCCTGCGTACTGGATGTGTGGGCTTCGCCCATGTCCCCTGCACACCTGCCCGGTCCTGAGCCGCTGACCGGCCTGGCGACGGCGTCTCTCGTGAACCTGTCCGATGGCGCACCTGGCTGGTGATGGTCCAGCGGGGGCCTGGCAGGCGTCTCTTGACACCTGCTGTTGCTGTCTTGCAGCTTGTGGCCGGTGCCAAGCGGGGGCTGAACTTCTCAGGGCGAGGTGTTGCCTCTTGGTTTCTTCCGGCCACGCGAGCCTGGAAAGCGGTTGCCTGCCTCAGGCGCCTTGTCACCACACGTGGGAGCTTCATGGGCAGCGCTCCCGGGACGGGGCCATGAGCCCCGGGACGCCCCACGCTCACCACACGCACCCGTCACGGCAGGTTCATGATCAAGAGGGCACAGGGGAGAAAGCGCTTCGGAATGAAGAACTTCAAGAAGCGGTGGTTTCGCCTGACAAACCACGAATTCACCTACCAGAAGAGCAAAGGTAATGGCGGAAAGTGCGGGGAGGGCCCTGGGCCACGGGGCTCCGCCAGCCGTCCGGAGGGCCCAGGGCAAGGTGCCGCGGGGAGGGCGTGGGGCCCGGCGTCTCTGCTCACGGCTCCTCGGACCCTTTGTGGGTCAGCCCCTCGGGGAGGCAGGGCGGCCCGGCCTCAGGGAAACCTGCTTCCCATGGAGCCGTCAACGCCACCTGGCCGTGCCAGGAGGGCCTCTCCAGCCTCCGGCCCGTGGTCTCAGCCACCGTGGTCCTGGGCTGGACGGAGCTTCCTCTGCCCCGCCCCACCCGCGTCCCACTTGGGCTCCCGCGTCTGTCGTGCGCTGAGGCGTGGAGCCCCAGTGCCGGGACTCCGAAGGTGCTTCTGGGCGGTGGCGCTCACCAGGGCCGGCGGGGTCCCACAGGTCCAGGTGCCCGTCGCAGGCCTTGGGTCTGCAGGCCAGAGGCGGTCTCTGTTCTGTCGGGCTGTTTCCTCCTGGCCCAAAACACTCAGAGCTGGGTGGCAGGATGCCGAGGCGCGAGTGCTCCCTGGGGGAATGGGGGCGTGTTCCCGGAGACGGGGTGTGAAGAGACCTGGTCGTCGGTCTGAGGACTCGGGGTCAGGCTGGCCTGGACAGCCGCGAGGGCCCGGGGTCCCCAGCCTCCTCGGCCCCCTGCCGTGGCCTCCGGTCTCTCAGCCGTCTTGCCCGAGAAGGGCAGCCCGGCCGAGCCCCCGGCCCTCCCAGGGCACCGCCACCGCCTCTGCCCGTCACCCACTCACCGCTCTCGCCGCAGGAGACCAGCCCCTCTGCAGCATCCCCATCGAGAACATCCTGGCCGTGGAGAAGCTGGAGGAGGAGTCCTTCAAGATGAAAAACGTGAGTCTGCGCGGCCAGGCCTCCCCTCGGCGGGTCAGCGTCCTCTGCTGGCGCCCGTGACCCTCTCCGCCCCGTGTGTGGGCGTCGGGGGCTCCAGGTCACTGGGTGCTCACCCAGCTCTGGGTGGCTTTGTATCTGAACCTGGCGCCTGAGCTGCTGGACTCCCCTGCCCAGGTGGCGGGGCGTTGGAACCTGCCAGAAGGGGGCCGGGCTTCTCCCAGGGGCTTCCCTGGCAGGCTCCCCGAGGCCACAGGAGCCTCTCAGAGACACCAGAAGCAGGCTGGGGACTGCCGGGATTTCCTGGAGCCTCCCAATGCTGGCATCGTTTTGCATTTGTAGAGAAGGCTAGACCAGGGACGCACCACATTGCCGTCACCCATTGCTGTAATCACGTTCCCTCGCTCTCCTCTCCGTGCTGTGCATTAGGCCAACTGTGTGGACACTTCAGGGCATACGTCCTGAAAGCCAGGACTGTCTCGTGTAGACGCAGGACAGTCACCAAAGCCAGACGCCCGACCCTGCTGCAACGTGTGCATGAATCCACAGTCCATGGTTACCTTTCACCAGTTGTCCCAATAATGTTCTTTCTCTTTTTGAGTTGGGGACTCCCTCTGTTGCCCAGACTGGAGAGCAGTGGCACGCTCACAGCCCCCGCAGCCTCGACCTGCTGGGCTCGGGTGACCCTCCCACCTCAGTCTTCTAAGTAGCTGGAACCACAGGTGCGTGCCACCACGCCTGGCTAATTTTTCTTGATTTGTTGTAGAGACGGGGTCTTGCCATGTTCCCCAGGCTGGTCTCGAACCCCTGAGCTCAGGCAGTCCTCTCGCCTCAGCCTCCCAAAGTGCTGGGATGACAGGCGTGAGCCACCGTACCCGGCTCTGACAATGTTCTTTGTGGCTGTTTTTCCCCCGGCTGGGACCCAGTCTGGGGCCGGTGCTGTGTGGCGCTCTTTGGTCTCCTTAATCTGGAACATTCCTCGGCCTTTCCTTGTGTTCCGTGGCCGTGGCACTTTTGAGGCCTGTGGACCAGCCCTCCACCTGGGCTTGTTGGGTGTTTGCCGGGGCGGGTTTACGATAGTGGGGGTGGACCCCCACCGGCCCACGATGTGTGGCCCCGTTGGCGCCGCCGCCTGGACCGTGGCTGGCCCTGCAGCTCTGTCCGCAGAGGCGCCACTCTCTTCCCCCGGGGACAGTGCGTGGTTGTTCACCGACCCGTGGGATTGCGTCTCAGGGTGGCTGCTGGCCCTTAGAGAGGTGAGTGCAGATGCGGGATCTGCCGGGGGCCAGACTGTGACTCTGCTAACACTTAGACTCCAAAGGCAGCTCTGGGGACCCCGGCCTGTGCTTCAGGGCACGGTGAGCCTGCGGGGCTGGGACGTCCAGGATGCAGCGATTCTCTCTCCGCATTGCCTCTTGTCCCCTGGACGTGGGGTACCCGGGGGCCTGTCTCCCGTGTCTCTTAGCAGCGCCTCTTAGCTTTGCCCAGAGGTCACCCCTGACGGGGCTCAGTGAGGGAATCCGGGAGGCAGAGGGCATTTCTCCGGTCCCAGTGTGGCATCCGTCCCCACCCCTGGCCAGTGGTGGACAGCAGGGGTGACGGGGGCCGCGGTGCTGGGACACTGGACCTTTCTGGGTCATCTGTACTCATCTGGAAATCTCACATCTGTGTCCTGTTTTCTACCCTGGGTTGCTCTTCCTAATTTCCTGTATTTTCTGTTTCATCGAAGTCACCTGGGGCCTTAGAACAAGGCGGGGCTGTAAATAATGAACCGTAGTGAAAACTTAAACTGCCCTCATCTTTCCGTTTTAAAGAAGTCCCAGGCCCATGGACCGGGCGGGGTGCGGCCAGGCTAGGGAAGGCCCTTGACCACGTGTGGCGTTCCCCGTGGTGCCTGGGCGGGTTCTCTGTGGGGGCTGGCCTTGCCCCTCCCCTGTGGCCCTGATCTCTCCGCAACCCGGGGCTCCTGCGGCGGGCCTCCTGCCCTCCCGCGGCCATCCCCTCTCTCTGGATCCCACCGTCCACTGCCCTGCCCTCCCAGGGCCGTCGCCGCTTCCTAAATCCCGCCATCCCGCTGTCCTGCCATCCCGGGGCCGTCCCTGCCCCCTGGATCCCACCATCCCCCCGTCCTGTCGTCCTGGGACCACCCCTGTGTCCTGGGTCCCGCCATCCACGGTCCTGCCCTCCCGGGCCATCCCTGCTCCCTAGATCCCACCTTCCCGCCACCTGCCATGCTGGGGCCATCCCTGCGCATGCTTCCCCTGGCAGGGATAGTCCCCCTGCCCTGTCTGCCGATAAGGATCAGGAAACCCCTCTGGGGCATGGCAGGTGCGCTGGGCGGCACAGAGGGCGTGGTCCTGGTGCTCCCAACCTCCCCTACGGGTGGCTGGGTTTTGTGAGGGTGCTGTCTCGGGTAGGTGCAGTCAGCATCCCGGGGGGGCATGGCTTAGTGCCGCAAAAGTTCTTTCCTAGAATGGAGGCCTTACCTCGATGGGGTCCGGGCTGTCCCTGGCAGCACAGAGCTCACATCCTCGTCCTGGGGGTGTCCCGGGGCCCCGGCATCATGTCGTGGGCAGCTGCTGAGTCTGACCCGGAGGGGCGGTGGGCCCAGACGGCACAGCACCTCTTTCTCACGCGACCCCGCTGCGGGTGGCACGGGCACCTCTGGGCCAGTGAGGCACGGTGGCAGGTGTGGGATTTCTCCCGGAGCGAGGGGTGTGAACACCCAGTGTGCCGCCCCCAGGAGACAGGCGCTGGGTCCCCGTGTCCTCGGTGTGCGGCATCCATGGCGTTGCATGTCCTCCGTGTCCGCTACCCTCTGGACACGCCTCCCCACGCCCTTCTGGGCTTCGGCGGGGGACACCGCAGGGACGGCTCTTGCGGTGGCACAGGCCTGGGTGCTCCTCCCTCAGATTGTCCGCCGAGGGAAGCCTGTGGAGATGTCCTGGCTGCAGCTCGCACCCCTGAATTCAGGCGCGGGGGCCCCTGCCTCATTTGTGCACCCCTGCTCCCGGGCCGTTTCTCGCGGCTGGTGTCAGCTGCCGGCAGGTGCTTATCTCCTGGGAGGCGTCTTTGAGGCCCCTGGGTGCCGAGCCATGGGGGAGCCGGCCTGGCATGACAGGGAGACCCTCCTGGGGACCCTGGCCACGGGCAGGTTCGTGCAGCCACACGCGTGTGCCGTGTGTGCAGGGCAGGGCAGCTCCCGACCCCGTGACGAGACGTCCCCTCACAGACAGCGGGGGCTGTGATTCTCCCAAGTCTGCCCTGAGAGGCCCCCCCCGCGGGCCGGCCC